CAAGCATGTTCTCAGGAAAGTATCACATCAACCCTGCAAGGAATGTAATGCCAATGTACAGATGATGGAATTGAGATCCAGCTGTAAGAAGGATCCTGAAGCCACACAGCAGGTTTGTAGTAGTACCAAGATTCAAACTCCAAAGCCTGGATCTTTCTGCTGTGTTATATTATACATAGGCAACACTACATATTTTTTATTATCTTTAAAAAACTTCCAAATTTGCAAAAAGTTAGTGCCTCATGATTCACTGTCAGCATTTGTCAGCATAAGTATCCCAAGTAGGACAACCTCAACATGTAACACTTTTGATCTAGAGAAGAGTCGTTTGTCCACCCTTGACAGTTGTAATTGCTTCTAACAACTGTCCTAGCAGCTGGCCTTTACTAAGCTTTGTGGGTCACAGCACTGGGCTCAATGCTTCATGATTATCTCCTTTCATCTTCACAACAATCCTGAGAAGTAAAAAGCTCATCTCCATCTCACTGACAGAAAAACCAAAGTAAAAAGTCAAACCATCCATCCCAGGAAGAACTTTCAAAAGGAGAAGTATTTGCTTGTGGTAATGCAAAAGGAAAGTTAATTCATTTTTTATTAGGGAAAAAAAGAGAAGTTATATGAAAACTTTGAAATAAAAAATTTATTTTCCTTCTCACACTGGATGCCCCTGTCACAGTTAAACATATTACCTAGTTAGCTTCCCTCTGATGGATTCCTGATTTAACACAGTCACACTGTCTTCCACAAGGGCTAACTTTAGAGGAAGTCTTGTGAGCCCAGGGGTGCATGGGTATTATGGGGTAAGAGACACACTCAAAAATGATGAGTCAGTGTTTTTCAAAGTATTTTTAGTCCCTTGTGGTAATTTCTGATCTGAGGAATGGAAAGAAGAGAAAGTTAGGGAAGACCGTTAAAGACAGAAGGAAGAGAGTGGAAGTCAATATACAACCGAGAGGAGGAAACACATAGCCCAAGACCAGATCACATCAGATGTCACTGCAAGTCCAAGAGCTGCCAAACATGGCAGGCACAATGCAGGTACATATACATGTGTGTGTGTGTGTGTGTGTGTGTGTGTGTGTGTGTGTGTGTGTGTGTGTGTGTACACACACATGCATATATTCACACATATACACATGCAATATATTGCATATTTTATATTCTCTAAGATGAAGCAATCCTCTAAACGTGTCATGCATCACGTGGTGAATCTAGTGCACACTAGTGCAGGACAGCCTCAGTTAAATGGGAAGGGGTTAGCCAGGGACAGCTAGTTTCTGCAGGAGGTCAGGGACAGAGACTGGCAGAGACAACTGCATGACAGGTGTGGTGGGGCAGCGGGGGCGGGGGTGAGCATACAGAACCGAAGGTGGTGAAATAAGCCGGTTATGTTAAGGGACAAGTGGACTGGCTACTGTAAGAAACAGAATCCTTGATGATGTGACTTGAGAATCAGAACCAGATTTGAATCCCCTTCTCCTCTAGCACTTGCTAAGTAACTTAGCACAAACTTTCAGAGTCTCAACTTCCTTATCTGTAAAGTAAAGACAATATCTATTTCCTGAGATTGTTGAGAATATTAAATACATAGTAGGTGCTTAATAACAGCCCCTTCCTCTTGTTTTTCTTGGTTTATAAAGAGGAATTTTGTTATGGCAGAATAGCACATGCCAGAGATTCCTCCTGGGGTGTCTAGCCTACAATACCTTCCTTACTCTACAAAAAGACCCTAGGGGGAAGCTATATTTGTCCCATTTCACATAGGGGCACATAACTTCCCTGGGTCACAGAGCTGGTTGCAGAGAAGAAAGAATCAAAACCAGGTCTGCCAGTCTACCAGAGCCATGAGTGTTCCACTGTATTTGGTAGCTTCCTAAGCAATAAGCAATGAGATTGAAAAGGTATCAGTGAGAGGAACTCTTACAAGACAGATCGAGAATTATCACTAAACTAGCAGCAAGTGCCTAAATCCATGTTCTCATTGGCCTAATATGTTTTATGGATTCTAGAGAAATCAAATCTGATGCTTTGCCATTTTCAACCAGACTAAACTTCTACTTTGGTTACTCACCTGAGAAATGAACAAACTTCAAGAACTTCACATCCCTGTCCCAGTGTCCTCATCTATAAAATGGGGAGTTTGGACTAGGAGATATCTGAAGTTACTTTCTACCTCTAACATGGTGAATGTGTGGGTAAAATTATAAGGTTTGGGGCAGGGACACCAAACCACTCTTCTCAGAACCAACTTTTAAGTGTAAAGACTCTTACAGTAGAAACCCTGTCACCTAAAGAGTAGTTTAATTAGGGAATCCTTGTATAGTGTAAAAATGTTCTTAAACTCTTGGTTTTAATTCAAAATACATAAACACACATTCATTCTCCAATTTCACTGATGTAGATGCCTTTAACACGAGGTCATGTGGAAAGAGAACAATGAACTATGTCCACAATACATCCTCACTGTGCATATTTCATATTTCAGTGTCCTTAAAATCGAAAGAGAATTTAAAATGGTTACAAATAAACCTGAATGCAGAATCTCTCTAGATTTTTAAGTTTTTCCCAAACCTCCTATAGCTGTTTCTCCCACACTTAATTTTGACAGCAATTTTTTTTTTTTTTTAGTGACTCACCTCTATGGAGTCTTTTTAATGTATTCAACATAGTTTCCCTAGAAACAAGAACACTTTCTTTTCACATTGCCATTTTAGCAGTTTAATTAAACAATATGTCAGATTTTATCATCCCTCTTCTCTAGCACTTCCAATGGCTTACCCGCCTTCCTGACAGGACAAGCTAAAGTCTGTACAAAGCTCGACATGCTCTGTTCCCTGCCCACCTCTCTGACCTGTCCCCTGCAATCTTTCCTTGGTCATGTACTCCAGCTACTCTGACCTCCATACTCTTCTTCAAATGACCATGGGAGCCCCTGCTTCAGACTTTACACATGTTCACCCTCCCTGGAATTCTCTTTCCCTGGATATCTGTAGTACCAGCTCTTATAACTATCTCTTTTAATCTTTTCTTTGTTCAAATGTCTCCTTCTCCATGAAGCCTTCCCTATTACCCCATTTAAAGTAGCCACCTCATCATCTATCCCCCCACTCCCAAGTTATCTTTCCCCAAAGCCCACCTGTCTGATAGTCTACATATTTCACTTATTAGAATTCAAGCTCCACAAGGGCAGGGATTTTTACCTGTTGGTTCACTGGTGTATTCCAGTGCCTAGAATAGTAGGTCTGTGGTTCTCACTCATAAATACTTGTTTCATAATCATCTTTATTATTACAATAAATGTATTGTTTCCCAGACTATAATAACCACCATCTCAGGCTTGAAGAGGTTTTAAAACAAATGGAGCAGAGTCTTGATAAGCAAAGAAGTCACCTGGAGGGGTCAGGAAGATGCTGGTGAGAGACAATTCAGCCCACTAGCCTGGAAGAGTCTGGAGCCCCGGGACCAGCAGGGCATGGTAAATAGAAGAGAAATCATTCGTCAAATGCCAAGTTGGCTAGACAGTCACTCCTTTTAACTTGATCAGTTGACCTCTCCAATTACTTGATGCTTTCACATTTAAATATACAATAACATATAGCAAAGTTAAATATAGAAGACCATCAGCTAGTCGCTTCTTCAGATACAGGCAAAACAACAGAAGGAAGTTAGGCTGTCTTGTTCTGATCCAACCCTTAATGGGCATTACCTTTAGCAAATCTCATCATCTCTCTCTCATTCTTGGTTAGCCAATAAAAAGCATAAAAAATAATATGTGGTCTGCCTATTTCATTAGCCTATTATAAGTATCAGATGGATCAATAGTTATGAAAACACATTGAAAAACTGTGAAGCACTCCATATAATACACAGTTCTCTTTGTGGATACTGACATATCTATATTATCTACCATAGCTCCCAAAAGTGATGATGTAGTTTAGAGCACTCTGATTTTAAAATAATTCCTAAAATATATTAAAGAACAAACAAGAAGAAAAGTCTGTTTTTAAGGGCATGGGATGAGAAATAGAAGGAAAATGGCTTTTTTTCCTGAATCTTTAATAGAAAAATATAAAGAAGAAAAAAATAAATCTCCAGAGCAGTAAATATAGTATATAAAGTCAGATTCAAGAGTATTGCTGTGAATAGCTACAATTTTCTAGACTCTTTGATACTTCAGATATTCCTCATTTATTTCAACACCAAAAGAATAATCCAAGATGACTTATTAATATCACACATATCGACAGCAGGTTGCGATGTGAATGAACAAACTCTAACTATCTCAGTTCTGTTTTATTATAGCATTTATGAAACTAAAATAAAAAGTGGTGAAGAATGACTTGTCACACTATTTATTAGAGTTGATGGAGTGTAGACAGTCTTTTCAATAAGGATTTAACACACTGTTATGCACCATAGTGCATTATTAATGAAAAGAAATGCATGAGACTTACATCAGCTTTTCCCCCAGTCATTCTGACATTAAATTCAAAATCAATTTTACCATACATGTCAAAGTTTCAGAGATAAAATGTTAATTCGTTTGTTGTTCACCAAAACTTAAGCTTACAATTCAAAGCAACAATTAGAAATCTTTCCTGTTCTACTGAACTTAATAATCATACTTTTTTTGGAGGAGGGTTCAGAGGAGGAAACAAGTACAACAGGAAGATAAATTGTTCCCTAGTTTGTACCTGACAAGAGGATAGGATCTCATTTTCTGTCTGATTGGAAGAACACAAAGAACAGCTACAGCAGGCAACCTGTGTGCTGAGTGTTTGAACCTCTCTTCCAACACCTGAGTATCGGATAGAACTAATTCACTCTGGCAAAGGTATTAAATAAATAAGCATGATTGTGCCAGGATGAGGACTAATCCTCAAACTATGAAAGAAAATGAACATATTTTACAATGATAGTGTTACCCCATTCACTCAGTATCCTCAGTCAAGCATTTTACATTGGAAATAAATAAATCAAATATATTAAGAATGACTTACCGCCAACAAGGAACCCTGATAGACACAAGCACCTGTGGGGAAAAACAAAACAAGAATTAAAAGGGATACATAATAAGCAACAGGCTCTGCCCCAGCAGGCTGACTGCTAAAACTGTATCTACTCGCATCATAGTCCAAAACTGCTTTTTCCAAAATCTTAAAAACCTGGGCATTCTTCCCCTGGGGAAATAGCCCCATATACCAAAACAACATTTCTTGGACACACATGAGGGAAAGTATTATTAAAACGTATCATCTGAGTTTTAAAACAAACATTTCTATAATGACGTGCAATAAATACAGTGTATGTTTTTTTGTGTGACAAGTCAGCAAAGCCTCCATAATCCAGTCCCAATTTACTTATCCAAGCTTCTCTGCCACTCTTAGCTTACACAAATTCTCTAGTTCAAGAGGCCAGCTGAGGATACTGTGATGTACTTTTATGTCTCAGTTATTGTTGTTGCCTACAGGAGACACACTTGGTCGGTCAGTCTCCTTGAACTTGACCCCATCTCCTTCATGAAACTCTTCTAGCTCCCAGGATTATGTTCCCTTGTACTCAGAGCACTCTGTGCCTATATCACCTATTTGTGAATACATTTTTGCATACTTCCTTGTGGTATCCTTGCTAAGGTTGTAGAAATGTCACATCTACGCCACTACACTATGTATGTAGAATTTAAAGAATACACACACATTCTTAGGAAAAAGACTTTCTACTTCTTTGTATTCCTCGCCTCTTCACATAGCAGGTATTCACTTAGGTATCTGCTAGATTAATACAAAATATCCATTTCATGCCTTTAATACAAATGTTCCCCTTTAGGGAGATTAAAACATTTTATAGGAGAATAGTATAGATGACAGTTCATCGAAAATAACTTCCAATCAGTTCCTGACCTCCAAGACTCTTTTTACCCTCTTTTCACTCAATTTTTTTTCTGATGGGCTGCTTATGAACTGATATATCTTTATGTTTTCCAGTCATTAAGCACCAAATGAAAAACAATAGATGATTTGTTTCTAAATGGAAAAGAAAGCTGAGTTTGAATGGGACAGTCTATCTAGTCCAAATAACTAGCATATTATAAAGTAAATTTCCTACTTGTATACCTAATCCTGAACTGTACTCTACAGCTTTTAAATTAAAAAATAAAATTTAGCAAAAAAATTAAAAAATAAAGTATATACCAAAGTTTTATGCTAAAAAAACTTAAAATTCAAAATCCTAATTTAAATAATATACACACGTTCTTAACCAATTTTCTTAGCTGCACAACAGGTGTTGATTTAACCTAGAAACAGGTGGGTAAGGTGCTACCAGCTACTCTCAGAAACTGAAACTGTGAAACAGATCAGAACAGCATACACACACCAAGGCAGAAGCATATCTTGATAGTGTCCCCAACGGCTTCTAAAGAGAGAAGAACATATTTTACCATAGAGCTTTCATCTAACAGATCATTCATGAAGTCTCAAAAATATTAACTTCTCAGGGAAAAAAAAACAAAAAACTGGTCTACCTTCCCCTCTAATAATGGAATTAAAAACAATCTTTAAAGAAGGTGAGATGAAGCCGGGCTCGGTGGCTCAGCCTGTAATCCCGCGCCTTTGGGAGGCTGAGGTGAGTGGATTGCCTGAGCCCGCGGGTTCGAGACCCGCCTGGGCAGCGAGACCTCATCTCTACAATAAATCAAAAAATCAGCTGGGCATGGTAGCGCATGCCTGTAATTCCGGCTACTTGGAAGGCTGAGGCAGAAGGATCGCCAGAGCCCAGCAGGTCGAGGCTGCGGTGGCCGGAAGCGGCCACTGCACTCCAGTCTGGGTGACCGAGTGAGACTTTCACTCAAAAAAAAAAAAAAAAAAAAAAAAGAAGGTGAGATGACTATGTACACTTCCATTTGAAACAAAGATCTCTGTGGGCAAATTTATTGAAATAATTTTTATGCCCCTGACATGCAAATAAGAATAATTGGAGATAAAACCTTAGGGGAAAATCTTCTTAATTGACTAATTTTCCCTTAAGAAATCTTGTTTCAAAGACTTAGTATTTCAGTCTGTAACATGTCATAAGAAAGAAATAATCACATATACTTCAAATAAGCATACATAAGTCTACAAACAATTCACTCTCTAAATTATGTATATGAATATATTTAATTACTTCTGATGTTTAAAATTTCATAATAAAGATCATCATCCAAGTACAATTTAACAAAATTTAACTGTTAAAATAAAAAAAAACCCAACTTTTAGAAAAAGCTAACCTTTAGAATAAGACCATCCTCAAATAATTTTATTGCTCTCCTTCATAGCAATACCTTCCAAAGTCAATTTCTTTTCAAAGCTCCAAAAGAAAGCAAGCATCTTAAGAAGTATTCAAGTACCCATATCAAAACCTATTTTTGGACTTTAGATAGCCATGATGAACTCACTGCAATATGAAAAAATAAAGCAGTTCTGATGTCGTGTGGCACCATATCTACACTGAGGCAGGCCAAGTATCCACTGGAGACTCAGTCAAAACTATGTATAGCTGCTGATAAATTCGATCATTAGGAAAATCAATTTGGGTCACTCTATGCTGTACAATTCCAAAAGAAGTAAGTTTTGCCCTCTGAGGGCTTTCCGAAAACAGAACAGTTCCACCCGGAAGGCAGTTGCACGAATGAGCTTCAGTTAACGCTGCTTCCAAAACCTAATTTCTACTCTCTTGAGAAAACGAAGCATTCCAGTGTAACGCCTGTCCTATCAAACTTCATCACCACCCAACGCCAGACGCAGTCATCCTAAGCAAACGTGTTTCTCCTACATTGGCACAGGCTGCTAGCAGATCAGGTGAGGGGTTTATTGGCATTAGGTGCTGGGTAGAGTTTCTGGTTGAAAACTAGAGCAGAGGCCTTTTCACTAATCAATTCACATATCATGGAAAACAAAGTTGCTCCCTCTCCTCATCTTTTTTTTCCCCCTTAAGGAGTACTAGAATGACTGCAGGTCTATCTAATGTTTATATTTATGGCTGTAGCTGAACTTCAAAGAAAATTCTAGCTCAAGGTGAATTCTGAGGCATGGTGATGATCTAGGAGAAATGAGCTCTCTTCAAGGGAAAACTAAGGAAAAAATAAGAGGCAGCAGGAGCTAGGGTTCTCCAACCAAGAACGTTGCTCAGCTTTGGGGCACAGAACACAGTTGAGATGCTAGGTAATCTAAGTCCTAACACCACATAGCCTGTGAGAAAGTGCATTAGGTTTTGCAGGATGCAGCAGTCTTAGAGTGTCAAGGCGGAAGCCCGGATCCCAAGACCTGGACTGCTCTTCTTCCTGTGTGGTTGGCTTATTTCTTGCAGGTCACATAGATAAAATGTTACTGCATGAAACTTAAATAAGCAAGTGTCTGTTTTTTAGTCTTTTTGCATATTAGAATATACTCCTTTATGAAATGACTATATAAAATCTCATATTTTCAGAGAAAATTTGAAGTATAATTTGCACCAGTAATTACATACTAAAACAATTCACTATAGAAACTATAACTGGTAAACGAAGTAAATTAGAGAAGTTAAATCCAAGAGCCACAAAACATCAGACCCATTAGTTCAAAGGCAGAGTGGCAGATAAAACCATTAAGATATGGAAAGATTTGGAGAGCACAGTATCACAAAACATGACTCATTAGGAACAAGCCGCCACAAGTTGGCATTTAAACGTTCCAGCTTTATGTTGTGTTATAATTCAGCATATGGCTGTGCACATTGTGGAATAGTTAAAATAGAATCGCTTCCTGAGCTGACAGGACAGCTCATGCCCTGATTACTGTCAACTAGGATTCAGATCAATTAATAGGGTAGTTAAAATGAAACAGAGCCAACTGTTTTGAACTATTTAAGATCTGGCGAGGCTTTCCACTTTGCCATGTGATCATCCCCTTCACTCTTCTGAGCCATGTGGTAGGGGATGTTTTATGACTACCTATGTCTGAGTATAGTTGAGTGATATTGCCATCCAGGCCCACAACAGTGAATATGGATGGCTGTGTCTTCACTAAAGGATCTACATTACATGGGGAGAGTAGATCTTCAAAGGGAAATGGAAATATAATATGACGAAATAAGAGTCTATGACCATCCACCACCTCTAAACTTCCACTAGCAGGTAGTCACAAACGCCAAAAGATGCAAAGTTGCAATCAGTACCTAGCATTTCAATATTGGCAAACCCACAAAGGATCAAATGTTGTCATACTCCTACTACTATAACACTGATATTCAAGATTCCTGGGTATGAAAATTCCTTGAGGGCGGGTACTACAGGGATTTTTGTTTTCTTTTGGTTTTTGATGCCTGTACTCCCTATCAGACATACCCTGACACATAAACTCTGAAATAATAAAGAGATCGGCTATTTTCTCCAGCCAATTTCCTCTCTTTCCTAACAGTGTTTTAAGCATTGAGTCTCTCACTAGACAAACTTTTCAGCCAAGAGTAGAACCAAGCATGCTAACTCACCCATAAATAAAATCTATCAGTCTATCAAATGATCCTTTTCAGTGTAATCTGTTAATGGCATTGATAGGCCTAGGAGATTGTGGGACTGGCTAAAATCACAAAAGAGTGATGGACACAGATTGGAGCTCAGTTCTCTGCAACATCCAGTTCAACAAAATCTTTCCTATCACAAGACAACTATTCTATCTAGTGGTAACTTCACAGGATTTCCACATGTCAACACAACTCAAGATGAATTCCTCTAGAAAATGTCACAGCAGAGTTTCTCTGACTCAGAAGGCGGCCATGTTAGAAGTTTCTCTGTGACTTGATTGTATTAAGTTCTCAAATCATCATAGTTTATCAGCTTAGCAATGTAAGACAATGTAAATTAACTCAGCCCACAATTTACTTGTAACATTTATGTTGATTTTGATAATTTAAAAAAAATTAGAACCAGAAAGTTATACTTGAGCACAAATAATGCAGCAAATGTTTCTTTCTCTTTTTCTATGCTTGATTAGCAAAAGTATTTCAGAGCTATCACCTAGACCAGCGATCCCCAACCTTTTTGGCATCAGGGTGCAGTTTCGTGGAAGACAATTTTTCCACAGATCGAGAGAGATGGTTTCGGGATGATTCAGGTGCATTACATTTATTATGCACTTTATTTCTATTATTATTACATTGTAATATATAATACAATATATAGCACCACACCCTCAGCTCCACCTCAGATCATTAGGCATTAGATTCTCATAAGGAGCAAGCAACCTAGGTCCCTCACATGCGCAGATCACAATAGAGTTTGTGCTCCTATGAGAATCT